GATAAATAATTGTTAAATTGATATAGATTATATGACATTGAGTTGGTGAAATCACAAGTCATTGGAACATTTAAATGGCACTTGTGCCATTCTCACGAACACTTATAAATCAAACATAACGGTAGTTGTGCCGTTTTCATAGACATTTTCATCTTAGTAAAGGCACAAGTGCCGTTCTCATGGACAAGTATATTTACAAACATAATGGTAGTTTTGTTGTTTTCATAGACGTTCTCATCTCATTAAGAGTACAGTGCTATTCTCATGGACACTTACATTTACAAACATAACAATACATGTGTAGTTTTTATATGAAGAAAAAAAAATTGAATAGAAATGTACCCCCTAACGTATGTAAGACATAAATGTTGATCATATGATAAAGAACAATTAAAATGATATAGATTATATGTTATCGAGTTGGTGAAAGCACACAAGTCAGTCTACCGATCCTTTCAAATATCATAATGAGCATCTCTCTCAGCTTTTCTACATGTCATGTTCATCTTAAAACATAAATGAGTTCAACTTATTAGTTCTCGGATGTTCAACTTATTGTTTCTCAAATCACAGATAGGACGTGACTGCTTATACACGTGTTTACACACATAACAATACAAGGGTCATATTCATCTCACTAAAGACACTTGTGTTGTTCTATTATTTTTTCATATATTTTGATTTGTTTTTCAACGCAAAGACCTCAAGCATGGACCTAACGTATGTAAGATATAAATGTTTACCATGTGATAAAGAACGATTGAAATGACATAAATTATAATAGACGCTTATAAGTTAATAATGGTACTTGTGCCGTTCTTATGGACATTTTCAACTCAGTAACGACACTTTTGCCTTTTCTCATGGAAGTTTATAAGTTTTGTAACAACACTTGTTTCATTCTCATAGACACTTATAAGTCTAGCAACGACACTTGTAACGTTCTAATGAAAGTTTACAATTCATGCAATGTCACTTGTGCTATTCTCATGTACGCTTACAAGTTTAGAAACGCCACTCGTGTTGTTTTCTTGAGATATAACACAGTAAAAATACACAACAATATTTAATGAAAGGCAAACGTGTACTACGAAAAAAAATCCATCTCTTGGAATAAAGTCATCCTGCTGACATGTGCATTTTCAAATGTAGTTTACAACTTTTTTGTATTGTCCAAAATATAAAAATCCTCAGATTCGAGTGAAAATTTTATAAACCCTGAAACAAAATAATTTTGAACCATATCCCCCACTACTATAATTACCGTTATTTCCACCACCACCACCACCGTATTAATATGTACTTCCCCTACTCCGATTATAAGAATTATCTCTTCTAAAATCACGACCACCAAAATGCCCACCACCATGCCTACTTTTACCTCCGTATGAAGCTCGACTTGTAAACGAATCAACCATGGGTACCTTCTGATTGGCTTCCTAGATCAAATCAGCTAGTGACTTTATTAGTGATACATTGTTCTTTGTTACAGAAAATGGTAGCAAATCCTATTTTCCTAGCACGACCTATATGTTTAATCCGGTGTACATAATCATCAATATCATTGGGAGATTAAGTGCTTGTTTGGGAGAGATTTTTGGGGGAAGAATTGATTTTGAATAGTGATATGAAGGGAAACTTGTGGTTGAAAAAGAAGAAAAAATTATTGATGTGATGGAAAATATTATTTTATTGAAAAATGTGTGGTTGAAAATGAGAATTGATTTACTGTCGAATTTTGAGAATCCCTCCCAAACAGAGTCTAAAGTTGATAACGTGAGCAACGTAAGGAAAATCAAGACCGGGAGCTATCACCTCTGTCGCAACCAAAATCAACGTGTTTCCATTCTTAAACGATCTCAATGCTAGTTCTCTTTCCTACAACAACAGGTCAATCAAAATCAAATAAAGTAAAAAAAAAAAAAGTAATAATCAATGTAGGCGTAATGAAACAACAATTATACAATTAAAGAACAAAATGATTCAATAAAGTCAAGGGGATACGTGACCTTTAAAGTTGCCAAGGTCAAGATCCATTCAATAAATAAGGGTATTGTAGTAAAAATAGCTAAGCATAATATGAAGAAATTATGAAATCAACAAGTGCAAAGTTCAATACAATAATGGGACTCAAAAAAATTCACGAAATATATTGAAGCATAATATGAAGATTTTTACTAAAAAGTGCCGAATTACACAAATCAAATTACCCATAGTACAACTCTCTAAGTCTCAGGTAGAGGTGTCAACCCGGGTGGTCCGGGCCGGGTCAGCCCACCAACATATGAGCCTGGTAACGACTCGCGTGAAAAAAAGCCCGTCCGCTACGGGTTCCGGGCCGATTCCGGGTCGGCCTACAAATTTTGGACTACAACCCAGGCCCGCTTACTGACCCATCCGGGTCGAGTTCATGTGTTTCGATTTATCCCGTATTATTGTATAAATAAAATTATAAAAATATAGAATTTTTCATATTTATAACAAAAAATATTTTTTTGGTTAAATGTAAACTAAGAATTGAACAAAATGATAAATTCATATTTATACCGAGAAATGTTTTCATAGAAAATTCAAATTTAATGTTACATGGATTTTTTATAACTTTGCAAAACTTAAATAAATAACAACATTTCTAATTACTATTATCAAATATTTATAGTATAAGCTCATCTCAACTAAGTTGGCACCTACTTTTATTATAATTTATAGTTTAAGTATATCCCAACTAGGTTGACACCAACTTAAGTCTTAATTATAATTTAGTCTTAACTCTCCCCCCTTTTTTCAAATAAAAAAAAAAAAAATTTTACGGGCCAGCAGGTTAATCGTGGCCCGTGAAGGTGCAACCCGCGAAACCCGCGAGTCACACTTCCTTGACTAGTGAACCGCCCGCTCGGTTCACGGGTCGGCCCGCGGTCCCGAGTCGATCCGGGCCGATTTTCACGAGTCTGGCCGATTCGTCCGTCTTGACACCTCTAGTCTCAAGGTATATCAAACAACAAACAAATTTCATATCACATTTTTCATGTATAACAATCCTAATAAATTAATTTCTTTTTAACCCATCATCTTCAAAACCCCAAATGTGTCAAAAATCCATTTACATTTAAAAAATTCAACTAAAACTAAAATAAATATACAAATAAACTATAAAATCATAAAAAATACAATTATTATGCTTTTTCATTCTAAACTTACACCAATGAAAGCACAAAGTCATATTTCAAAATGAAAAAAATTGAAGGAGAAATTACCCTTTTTGTTGTGTTAGCTTACATCAAAGAGAGATGAAGTAAAGTGAAATAAACTTGAATCAAAGATTTTTTTTTTTTTTTTTGTAATCTTGAAATGTATTGAAAATTAAGGTGAAGAAGACGATTTTAGAATTCAAATTTGGGAAATAGGGTTTCATAGTGAAATTGAAGATGAAAGAACAAGGTGAAATGAAAGAAGTTAGATGAATAATTTGATATAAATTGAAATGCAACTTTGTCATTTTATCGATTAAAACATTTCCAATTTTTTAATTCTATTTTAATGTTGGCCAAAGGCCATTTGTCCAAATTCATTGCCCAACCTGACTATTTGGCTACATTTTCTAAAAATATTGAATATAATTTGCAATTTTTTTTTTTGGGTATTGCAAATGCAATTATTCCCTTTTAATTTTGATATTTTTTTTTTTACTGTTTTTAATAGCAAATCGGATGGATCTTGCTGACAAGGAAATTTTCGCATAAAAAAGTTTCAAACAAGAGGTTTTCTGTGATTTTCAATAGGTAGAAAATCAGATTAGGCCATAGGGTGGCCATTTTTCAAAATCTTAAAATGCTATCTCGACTTAGGATCGCAGATGTGACGTCTATGAGGATGACGCGTCGGCCTCCAGGAGAGGCCACACGTCATTCATCCAACGGTGGCCACATCTTCTCTTACTATAAAAGCTCATATGTAATTTCAAATAATGCAATTTTATAATCTCAATAATAACTTTGCTTGGTATTCTCTTTTGAAACTGATATTATATACGTTATTGTGGCTCATATCTAGTATTCATTCCATACATTTATACATCTATAGTTGATTGATTTGATCATTGAAATGCTCACGTCAATCTTTGTCTCTTCTAAAAAATTTCATGTGCATCTAACGACTTGTTGACTTGTTCAGAAGCCTTACATGTGAAAGTAAGTAAAATCGAGATTTGTTGACCACAACATTCAAAAGAAAACCGAGGTCAACAATCTCATCCATTTATAAAATCTAAATTTCGACCTTGATTATTGATCAAACGTATTATGAGACTAAAATAAAAAGCATGTGTAGCTCCTCACAAGTCATAAGCAGTCCAAAACAACATCAAATTAGTTCACTAGTAATTAATTAAGCCCCTTGTTGACAATTATTATTGGAAGAAAAATTGAGTTTTGAATATTCATTTTTAAGAGAATGTGCGTTAAAAAGGTATATATTATTTTATTTTATTAATGTATGATTCCCACTCTTTGCATCCTGTGTCCACCGTTAATGTGTGCAGCGCCAGCTGGCACAAATATAAACGCCTCGTATATTTTGCATGACGAGAATAGCCCTCACGCGTCTTCTAATATCTAAATAAACCGTTTACCATTTTGTCTCTCCTTGGGGGAAAAATAGAAGGATGGCATATTTGTAGTTAAAAGAAACAACATGCCCAATTTAATCTAGTAATCAGTGTTCTCAAATTCTTCCTCTCTCCATTTAACCGCCAAATATAAACAAACACGCCTCTCCGTACCTTTCTCTCCCGCTTTTGTAAAAGACAGGTGTATGTAGAGTTTACACTGAACGAAATTGTACCGCAGGAACTGGAGAGGAAATGCTCACTCCTCACTGAACACGAAAATCCCGCATTAATATGAAGCCCTACCCGTGCTTCCTGTACAGCTTTGCATGCATTTTTCTCTCTGCTTTCTCTCACTAGAATACGTAGAGGTCTCTATCTTTTCTCTCTCTTCGCAATGTCTCCTGGTTCTACGACTGAAGTCTGCGGTGACGAGCCGGCGAAGAAAGCTTTTGCTCATAACTCGTCGGAAAATGTATCGGCGAAGGAAACTGAAACTCCTGAAACAATCGCCGATGCTTATGAAAAACTCAACCTCGGTAGAGATATTTCCAACTTTCTTACTGGTTCCACCTCAGTAGATGCTGGAGAGTGTGCAGACGGAGAAAATAAAGAAGGTGAGCAGCAAAACAAAACCTCGCCGGAGAAAGCGGTGGTGGAAACCACGGCGGAGGAGATGACAAAGAGTAGCAACGGTGCCGTAGCAGGGAATGGTGAATTTGAGGTGGTGTCTAATATTAACAGTGCTGGTGGTGGTAAGACGACGTCGATTCTGAAACCGTCTCCAAGCGTCGGAATGAGCTTGGAGAATCTCGTTGAAGTGTCGAATGTGGCCTCGGGAAAGAACGGCGGGACTGAGAATACCTCGGCCACGGCAATGATCGACGAGGCCTGGGATCTACTCGCCAAATCCTATGTGTACTTCAAGGGACAGCACGTAGGTACACTGGCCGCTGTTGATAATAGCGCCGAGGCCTTAAATTACAATCAGGTATACGTTACTGTATATGTTATATGCTTTCAGGATGGATAGGATTTATAAATACTTGCGTATTGTATTATAATTACATTTTTCCTTTCATATTTTTCGAAATTTGATTACTTATCTTTGTGCATAGTTTAGAGTCTTTAGACATATATATGTATGTGTGTGTCTTATTTGTATATTTGTTCAAGTAGTTTCTATATATTGATGAAATCATCTACAAAATTGCTATTTCTTACCTTTTTTGATTTTATTTGTGTAATTCTGTTTTGGTTCGTACAGTGTATTTGAATGCGACATTGTGACCTCCATCCATGTGAAAATTATTGTTTGATTTATTGATCTCGATTCTCTTGTTCTAACAGTACTTATAAACTGATAATGTTAACAAATAAATATTTGATGTCCAAAGGTTAACTTGAAAAATAAATTATACCCGGAGGTTAGATGTTAAATTGATCTCTACTGAAAAAGGTATTTTGAATGGATTTTCTATTGCTCGAGGTATTAATCCCAAATAAAGTCCTTTTTTCGCCTTTTCTCAGGTTTCAATGGCTCTCTTTATGTTATATTTGATTTTTTTCCTTTTCCTTCGTGGCATTACTTTTAATCGTTGTCATCTTTCTTGTTGTTTTTATTGGCCTTTCCATCAATGTTAAATTGATAGATAGTTCTTACATTTACATCTTCAGATCAATATCAGCAGTCCAATAATGAGCTTAGAAGTGTCTTTTATGTGGATTAAGTATTTGAAAATTGGTTTCCCTTGGTAGTTTAAGCACTGAATTATATATGAAGTGCTCTGAACTTTGAAATGCACCTGTGTGATCTATAATTGCTTAACACAGAAATAGAATGATTGAGGATAGATCCTCAGTTTTTTGGTTTCTCTCCGGTGGTCTTTAACTATTTACTAACACAAGACTTTGGTTCTTTGATCATTTAAAAATTGATGAGTTGCTCTGTCTGTTGACGATATCATATTTCTTTTAAAATATTACAGAACTGTAGCACACAAGTTCTTCCTAATGGATCTCTTATTAATTTATATGATAAGCAATTCGTGGCTTAGGCAATTAGAAAAATTCTTTATCATTTGCTACTGCAATTTCGACACCTTCAACTTTCTATGGGGCAGGTTTTTGTGAGAGACTTTGTTCCCTGTGGATTGGCCTGTCTGATGAAAAACAATGCAGATGTAGAAATTGTGAAAAATTTCCTGTTAAAGACCCTCCACCTCCAAGGCTGGGAGAAGAGAATTGATAATTTTACACTTGGAGAAGGTGTAATGCCTGCAAGTTTCAAGGTGATTTATGACACACAAAGACAGAAAGAAATTTTGCAAGCAGATTTTGGGGGCACTGCCATTGGAAGAGTTGCCCCTGTGGATTCTGGGTTCTGGTGGATTATACTGCTGAGATCATATACTAAATGCACACACGATTATTCTCTTTCGGAGTTACCCGAGGTGCAGAGAGGAATGAAATTGATACTTAACCTGTGTCTGTCAGATGGTTTTGACACATTTCCTACACTCTTATGTGCAGATGGATGTAGCATGATTGACAGGCGAATGGTAAGGTTTCTTTTCTTCTATTTTTATTATACCAATGCTTGGTGGTTGGTGCCTAAAATGCTAAACCAGATGAACACTCGGAATAACCAACTTTTATATTTCTGAATTGTTTGGTATTCCTCAAGTCGACCTAATATTGCATATTCCATACATATATTAGGTTATCTTAATTTTCTTACTGTAAAAAATATAGGACCTCGTTTTTTTTAAAATCATTTGAGAGGCTAGAAGTCACCTTGTACTCTTCTACAATGAAAATCCTCATCTGCTTTGCTTGTTTTCTTTTCTATTCTTGCTTTCCCACTTAAAGGTCAGTCTACAGATAAATGCATTCTGCTAATCCCTGTACGACTCTAGTTCTAAATTACCTGCTCAATTTTGCCAAGGTTTTGCTTCATTTGAGTTTATGGTTATGATTTTAGTTTTTGTTTGCTTTGGTGACAGGGGATATATGGGTATCCAATTGAGATCCAGGCCCTCTTCTTTTTTGCCCTGAGGTGTGCAAGACAAATGCTTAAACCAGAGCATGATGGCAAGGAATTGATTGAGCGCATTGACAAGCGAATCACTGCTCTGAGTTATCACATTCAAAACTATTACTGGCTTGACTTCACTCAACTGAACAACATTTATCGCTACAAAACTGAGGAATATTCTCATACTGCTGTCAACAAATTCAATGTCATCCCTGAATCTATTCCAGATTGGGTACTTGAATTCATGCCACTAAGAGGAGGGTATTTCATTGGCAATGTAAGTCCAGCACGCATGGACTTCAGGTGGTTCTTAATTGGAAACTGCATTTCTATATTGAGCTCTTTAGCAACACCAGCGCAGGCTACAGCCATTATGGATTTGATCGAGGAGCGCTGGGCAGATTTAATCGGGGAGATGCCACTGAAAATTGTGTATCCAGCACTTGAAGGGCATCAGTGGAGGATTGTTACTGGATGTGATCCAAAAAACACCCGATGGAGTTACCATAACGGTGGATCATGGCCAGGTTAGTCGTATGCATCTACAATATTAGTCTGAAGAACCTTATTTTTGTTATTGACAGCAATTCTAGATAGATTTCTTTGACAATACAAGTTATTTACTCTCAAAAACCTTAGTTTTCTGGAATTCAGCTCATAAATTCAGTTGAAGATATTTGATTAACTATGTATTTTGTTATTTTGCTGATTTCTTCAGAAGTCTATCCTGAGATCATACACCCTTTCCTTCTTTCTTTCCTAGTTATTAGGAAGGAAAAGGGTAGATGCCAGTTTGATAGAACCTATTCTTGAAATGAACAACGTACATTCCCCTACACATTGTTAAACTTGAGGGTTCTATTATTAATGATGATGTTGTTACATGGTGTAGTTCTACTATGGCTTCTAACAGCAGCAAGCATAAAAACTGGAAGGCCTCAAATAGCAAAGAGGGCAATAGAGTTGGCAGAGCAGCGTCTGTCGAAAGACGGATGGCCAGAGTACTATGATGGGATAACAGGGAGGTACGTGGGGAAGCAAGCAAGGAAGAATCAAACATGGAGCATTGCAGGATATCTGGTTGCAAAACTCATGATAGAGAACCCATCGAATTTGCTAATGATTTCTCTTGAAGAGGACAAAAAAATAACAAAGCCAAGGCTCACCCGCTCAGCCTCATGGACCTTTTAGGCTCTCCTCTTATTAAACATACATATATCAGGTATCCCTGTGGTTTTTGGTGACTAGTACGAGCCTACTTAACACAGTTGTTATCATTCTCACTATCTTTGAATGCATGCTTAAATGCTGGAAAATCTGATCCTTTGGGATGAATCCATTAATTAGCAATTATTCAAGTTTACTAGTACATATTTGGGGTGCTTATAAGTATTGGAATCCACTACGTTCTAATAAGCATGACCAAGCAAACACTAATTTTATCTTGGTGTATTTGCAATCTTATGAAAAAAAATGTCTGCTAATTATTTTTATTAAATGGGAAAAGAAGATATTCAAAAACATTTAGAGAACACTTCAAATACAATTGATAATTGAATGATTCAATCAATATGTAACTTACCATGTCAAAAAATGCTGTTTAATTACAAAAATAAGTTGATGTTCATTTCAAGAATATTATTGTGATATTTCGATTCAATAACAAATTTTATACATTTCCATCTCACAACCCCCCCCTTTTTTTGGCGTTCATAAAAATCAAACAAATCGCCCTCTGGAATGGTGGGCATATTTGTATGAACATCCCAATTTAAATAGCTAATAGTTGTGTTTAAAAGTGTTTTTGGCCCAAGAATTTCGTCTCTTCAATATCCGGTATCTTTTCTTATTTGCATCTAACAATTTATACCTTTTAATTCAAACTTTGTATCCTTAATAAAATGCCACTACTCTTGAATGAATAGATACATACAAAGGTTATATACATGAAAATAATCTTCTACAATCTAAAGTTCTTTTTCCATCCCCCGTTATTTTATTTTTTTTAAATAATCTCCTCTCGTTTAAAAATTCGACATCAATGTTGGCGTCAATTTGAGTGATAGAGACAGAGTCAGAAATTATGTCTGCAAGTTGATTCGGATGCTACTTCTGTAAAAAGAATAATTAGTTCTATCATGAAACACCACTAGAAGAAGTAATTTTTTCTTTAAAACGCAAAAAAATAAAATATCAATATATACGCCTGTGTTGAAATGTGATCTAAATTCATCATGTATTGATGGCTCAGTTGAAAGCGGTATTGAAGAGGTCAAAACATAGACCAAGAAAATTTGGAGCAAAGTTTGGGTGTGAAAATCAGATTTGAAACAGCGCCTGAGCGCCATATTGAAGTATTGCTTGCCACTCGTTGACCGAGCTTTGGTGCTCGAGTGTCACACCTCTGCTCTTTGGGCATGAGGTTGTCGCTCGAGCGCCGCTGTTATCCGGCCAAAGGCATGTTTGTGATTTTGACAAATTTTGGGAAGTCATTCCACATAAAACACTATAATTAGGGTTTGACATATACTCTATACATACTTGACTTTTCATTATGATAAAGAATAAGTTGAAAACAAAAAATGATTGTATTCTTTCATCATATATTGAATTCTCCTCCTCTACTCTTGATTTTTCCACGTAAAGTTTTTTGTTTGTAATTGATTACTTTCTAATGTCATATTACTCTCGTTTCTTGAATCTAACAAGTGGTATCAAAGCAAAATGGTGTCCTTTTATTTCTAACATCTTACAAGTCTAGTATGCACATATAATTCCACACTTTTGAGCTGTATGTATAGTTCTAATTGACAAGTTTTCAACAAGTTTCTGTGGGAACTGAACTGAAACTTCCCTATAATTTGAATGTTTGAAAAATAAAACACACAAGCGTGCCCCTTTGATTGCAATATACCATTGGAAGAAAATAAAGAGTAATTTCTTCGTTTTAGTATAATAAATTATGAAATTTGTTGGGGTTTGTTATGATGTAGCACTCGATCATATAATTATATGCTGATTGTCAACACTTAAAAGAGCTAAACTATACAGATTTTGTTGCTAGTAAAAGCCTGCTCTAGAAAAATATATATTTAATGTAACTACTACTTAATTAATTATAAATTAGAAAACTAAATGCATGATCTTACAATCTAAAAAAAGAAACTCCGCCGTATTATTAATTTCAAGTTCAAAGATGACCATATCAATTCGGAAATATAAATAAATGCAAAATGTTTTTCTTTGATGGCATAAGCTTATACGTTTGCATGGACTTCTGCAGGCCAACTGCTTCAGAATACTAATTTCATGAATAAAATATAAAAAAGGGAATTAAGAAATTTTTTAAGAACAAGCTATGATCAGATCTACAAATGTAAATTCCATGCTTTACCTGTCCACGAGCTGTAGTAGATGGAAGAAATTATAAATATATTGTTCTTTGATGGCATAAGCTTATATGTTTGCATGGACTTCTGCAGGCCAACTGCTTCAGAATACTAATTTCATGAATAAAATATAAGAATGGTATTTAAGAAATTTTTTAAGAACAAGCTATGATCAGATCTACAAATGTAAATTCCATGCTTTACCTGTCCACGAGCAGTAGTAGATGGAAGAAATTATAAACAAATACACCATAATTATATATATACAAGCAAATATACAATCACAAGCGCGTGCAAACACAATATTCGTGCATACAAATATACAATCATCCGGACAACACCAAGCCCCTGTTTGGTCACATTTTTAGTAGATTTTGATAAAAGTTGATGAAATATGTAATTAAAATTTATTGTTGACTTTGGTTTAGATTAAAATTTGAATTTGAATTTCTACCAAACAAGGGCTAATGACGGCGTCCACTCGGTGATAAGAAGTGTTGAACAAATCAACTTAAATCTGTCTTCTGTTACCCCCTCTTCAGCATCTCATAAATTTAAATTTTAGAAAGTTGTTTTTATATATGATTGTTACCATGCTAAAGTTCTGTTAATGAAAGGTTCAACAAGATAAATAGACACAACGTTGGCAGAACAAGATTTAAGAACTCAAGATTGTCTAATGTAGCGTACTAAACATGCTAAAATTATTATTAGTCAAGAATGGACTATTAATGTAAGTTGTCATATGCATGGAGGGGGTAAGAGTACATTGCAGGTCAAAATACATGATTTGGTTGGGGGATCAAAAGGCAAAAGAACACAAAAAAAGCTCAGTTAACACATCATTTTTTGTTCACAATGAATAATTGAAAACATACCCTCCCCAGCAACTTATTATTCCAAAACCCATGTTAAAGAAATCATCAAAGTTGACAAACATAACATACTTTGACAAATGTTTTCACTTGTTTATGTAAAAATTGGGTTCATTAAAAAGCCTTCTCTTTAGCCCTTTTGTAACTCCTCATCCCTCTCTTCCTCCCTCCCTCACTCACTCCCTCTCTCTCTCTCGTACGCACGTGCACGCACATTCATGGCAGTCACAATCATTTTCCTCCTGTGTGTGTGTTTAAGCTTACTATCTAATGCTGATCACGTGCATGGACTTGCAAGATGGCCTGGTGGGAGTTCAACAAGGTTCTATGAATTCAAGGTCTCAATTTCTCTTTTTCTCTACTTGTTTTTTCGCCATGTTTCACAGCATTTCTCAGTATTTTCTCTATTATATATTTGCAATAGGTCAAAACTAAAAGCATAACGAAGCTTTGTAGCACCAACAACATCATCACCATAAATAACATGCTCCCGGGACCAGTTATTTATGCTCAAGAAGATGATCGAGTAATAGTTAAACTCATTAATCAGACACCACATAATGCCACAATCCACTGGTATCGATCGAACTTTTTTCCTTTTTCACCAAATTTCTTTTAATTCATAACAAACTATTCGCATATTATTCTATGCAATAAAAATTTCAGGCATGGTGTCCGGCAGAGGCTATCGTGCTGGTTTGACGGCCCTTCTTATGTCACACAATGTCCGATTCAGCCCGGACAGACTTTCACCTATGAGTTTACACTTGTGCAGCAAAAGGGCACCCTACTTTGGCATGCTCATGTATCATGGCTCAGGGCAACTGTTTATGGTGCCATTGTTATATATCCCAAGACTGGTGTACCCTACCCTTTTCCATACCCTTATGAAGAGCACATCATTATCCTAGGTACACCAAGTGAACTATTTATAGATGTAAATGTTGACATTTATTGAACTGAAAATTTTTGGGAACATTGATTTCATATCTTAATTTCTTTGGAAGGGGAGTATTATTTGAGAGATCCTCTACAACTCGAGCAGGCTGTTCTAGCTAGCGGTGGAGGTCCCCCACCGGCAGATGCTTATACCATCAACGGGCACCCTGGTCCCAATTATAATTGCTCTACCAATGGTATGGTCACGTATAAAACACAATATAGTTTTATAATTACATTATGAATTGAACCTATCACATTTATGCTTAGCTCATCAAGTAGACTTTCATTCAGCTAAACTTTTATTTTAATGATTGAAAAATATTGTTATATCCTCAGATGTGTACAAGATTGACGTAGTCCCAGGGAAGACGTACCTATTGAGATTAATCAACGCGGGATTGAACATGGAGAATTTCTTTGGGGTGGCTAATCACAAGATGACAGTTGTTGAAGCTGATGCAGAATACACGAAGCCTTTTACTACAGATCGTGTTATGCTTGGGCCAGGCCAGACCCTCAATGTGCTGATCACTGCCAATCAACCCATAGGAAGATACACCATGGCCATGGGACCTTACATGTCTGCAAGAAATGTACCATTCCAAAATATAACGTCAGTAGCCTACTTCCAGTACTTGGGTGCCACCCCAAATAGCGTATCTCTACCAGCTGCTCTTCCACGTTTTAATGATAATCTTGCCGTTAAAACCGTGATGGACGGCCTTAAGAGTCTTAACCCTGCAAGTGTCCCAAAAGAAATAGATAAGAATCTGTTTGTTACTATTGGCTTAAATGTGCAAAAATGTGGAAGAGAAAATCCACGGCAGGATTGCCAAGGCATCAATGGTGGAATCATGGCTGCTTCTATGAATAACATAAGTTTTATTCGGCCTAATGTTTCACTCTTGGAAGCCTATTACAGGAAGATAAATGGACATTTCACGGAAGATTTCCCTGCCTCACCCCTTAAGTTCTATGATTTTGTTAACGGGGCTCCTAATAATGCTCCTAATGATACTAATGCATTGAATGGAACAAGGACTTTTGTCCTTGAATATGGTACTAGGGTTCAGCTTGTCTTGCAGGATACAGGGACTATCACAACAGAAAATCATCCAATTCATCTTCATGGATACAATTTCTATGTTGTCGGCTATGGCACTGGGAACTATAATCCAGATATAGCCAATTTCAACTTGGTCGATCCACCGTACATGAACACCATTGGAGTTCCAGTTGGTGGATGGGCTGCAATCAGATTTCTTGCTGATAACCCAGGTACTCTTCCAGGGTGGAAATACATGTACACACACAAAGTGCCGAATCTTGTATTTGTTCTTAAGAAAAGGAATTTGGAAGGTGTTTGGTGGGGATTAAAATTAGATTTTTAGTGGATTATGATAGAAGTTTTTAAAATGTATGGTTGAAAAGATGTGAGACTCATGAAATATGTGATTAATATTGATTGTTTGTTGATTTGGATTAAAATCAGATTTTAATGCAACCCAAACAGGTCTATTTTTAGGGTCTAAAAGGACGTGGAAACACATAAGAATAGGAATATGATTAGACATACTTGTATACACAGACAAGTGCGCCCAAGCATCACAGACACTAATGCTGAATATTTTGACATGGTGCAGGGACTTGGTTTATGCATTGTCACTTGGAGATACATTTGACATGGGGTTTATCAGTGGTGTTTATTGTGAAGAATGGGCAAGGACCACTAGAGACCCTACCTCATCCTCCAGCAGATTATCCCCGATGCTAGATATGTAATGTAGGGGATGTAGAAACCAAGACATGGATGGTTTTTAAGTACTTTTCAATATGATAAGATTCTTTCATGCAAGTGTGCTATTTGTTCTGTTGATTTCTTTTCAAATAATATGACTTCATGTTGTGTAGATTTATAAAGAACTTGATTAATAAAAGTTTAGCATTATTTTTCTCTATCCGTTTACAATTTTTCATGTACCAAACGAAGCCTTATTGCTTTAAATGAACATGACATGACATGATATGGCAATTTGTACGCAAATTTTTCCAACAATTACATTTAAATAATGAAATGAACAGATGGTGGGGGGGTGGGGGGGGGGGGGACCCGGACTCCCTCCAATGTTTTGAGGTTTTTTTTTTTTTTTTTCTAGGAAGTGTGTGTTTTGAATTATATGAGTTTGATATTTTTTCCAAACTTTTGGTTGTTTGAGCTCTAGAATCAAAATGTTAATCTAAATATTTGGATATGTTCTTGGATCTTGGAAAGATATTATGAAGATGTAAAACAATGATCAACCATCCCCAAAAATTATTGGACATTGGGTATTTATAATAGGAGGTCTTTAGAAAGTATATGATAGATATAATTCTTGAAAAACGCAAACTAGGGTTTTTTGAAAAATACCGTTGCTCAAGCGCCAGGTAGCGACAGGCGAGCGAGAGATATGTCGCTATAGCGAGAGCCGAGCGACGGGCAGGCGACAATGATTCTACTTTGGACGTTCAAGCATCAGCTAGGCGACATGCTAGCGTAAATCCCGCGACTCTTTCCTCTTGTTCCATACTCAACCTAAATACTCCTAATTCATCTATACAATCCTTCAAAAGTCCCCTTAGCTTTTACAACTCTTTTGTATCAATCCTATTCTTCTACTATTCTTTTGTATCAATCGTATTCTTTTATAATTCTTTTGTCCAAAGAATTGCCAATATAACTAAAAACTAACATATTGCTTGCGGTAGAATAGAGTTATGATTTATAATTCTCAACAATAGTCAAATATGATCAATTGACCATTTCAACTCTATAAAAGGCAAGGAAATAACTAATAGACACCAAACGCATGTAGCTCATTTATAATGACGCCAAAAAGCTATCTGATTCTTTACTCACATTCAATTACTTTGGATTTTCTAGTACAAGTATAGAAACGAAAGAACAAAGTGGCGAAAAAAGATTCATGCAATCGACTCGACTTCAAAATCACTGAGAACAAAACCTGGTTTGTCGTTATTGCTGGTTCAAACATGTACCTTAAAGATGATTTACAAATTACTAGACGAAGCTGAACGCTTTGTAGTTGTGTAACTCCTTGACTAAGCCTGCAAAATAAGTACTCTTCACATCAGGGAAAAGAAAAAGAAAAAAAGTATTAACAGAGAAACTAAGACCATGAAAAATTAGGGAGGAAGAAGGGCATGAACTGAAATTCAGATTCTAATCCTAAATGTCTCTTTTACTTAATACTAGTTTGACACACGTGTGATACACGTGCCATTGGTGAAGTTAGGTATTAAATAGTGTGTTGTTTAAGGAAAAAATGATAGAAAATGAGGAAAGTTTTGACATAATTTGTAAGTGTATTGTAATTATACTGAAAAAATATAGAATATATGAAGTGGTTAGAATATCAGAAATGCTATT